CCAGGGCGGCAGAAGCTTGGTTTGGTGTAGAAGGCTTCCAGCCGTACATGTTTGAGCCCTTGCCTCGCAACGCTGCCAGTTCTGTTAGCTCTACGCCTGCTGAAGACACAGACGTCCATCCCCGGGAACACTGGGACGGAACTCAATGGGAAAGGAAAGGATTCTGATTTCTTATTTAAACCGTAGCGTATATTAGCTGCGACATATGAAGCAAGATGCTATGACGAAAAAAAATTAGATTGACAGATGACCGTTGATACACGATTGGCCGAATTTAGGTGTACACGCTGATGTATAACTAACTGGCCTGCATAAGATAAAAAAAACATTAAAAAAAACTGTTTTTTAAGACAGGATTTTTATATTTATATATATATATATATATATATATATATATATATATATATATATATATATATAGAAATTTTTTAAATTTTGGCACAATATAGTCTGATAAAGAGTACATTCATTTACATGTTTAAGCCAGAATTATTTGACATATTAATATGATTACCCTACGACTTTAACTAGTATTTAGACTCCAAGAAGGTCCCTCTGCTGAAAGATCAACCCACTCGGAACAGTAATTAAGCTAAAAGATATGAGCTTTTTAGAATTTAAAAGGAAAAAATCTTAGTCTGTAAATATTATTTGGCTTCACCTGGATCTAAATAAATAAATCCATCCATCCATCCATAAATGCTTTTTTTCTCCCAGAGTTAAAATGTTTTTTAAGCCACAAATTGTAATAAAATATAATCAACACATTGATGGTTTACAAATGGATGAAAACACTTTAAAAACACCAACTGTTTAATCAGGTGTCATTTCTGACCAATATTTGTATTCAGAAATGGAATGAATACAATAATAATTATGGGCAAGATCAAGATCCATTCAGCCAGAACTACACTAGAACCATACAAGCCGAGATAAGTTATGGTTTTTAACTTTATTATCAAGAAGGGTCCAAATAAATGAACAATAAGATAATAATCCAGAAATTATTAGGAGCGTGTAAACAACTTGCTCTGGCTCTGATAGGCTTCATATGGCGCTAAAATCCTACTCAATACTCATCCCACGGCGGTAACTAAGGTATGCAACGCAAGACTGTGGCGAAGATGTACAAGAAAAACTCACGTGTGTACAACACATGCTAAAAACACAACAAACTCTGACTCAAAGACACACTTTGAAGCACACAGCACAAGATTACTAAGGCAAACACACACATCCACACACACATATTCCGACCCCGTTCTATTGTTTGCTTTGGCAGAGAGGGCAACATTTCCCTCAGCTCTGCCAGTACACGCAGTCTGCTGTCATGGAAAAAAAACAAAAAAGAAAAAGTGAACAAACACGGCGTTAACAGGACTAATCATTCCTCCCACGAACTTTGACACCCATTTGTTCTGGCCTCATTCACAGACTCATACCCCCCCACAGCACACACACATCATACATCACGGTAAATATATTTTTCATTCATTCAAAGTGGAAATAAAATCCTTGGCTGACGGAAAGCAGCAACCTGTGGCACACATACAAGTGGCTGGACAAATATGGTTTCCCTGCCGTACAGTGTAGCTAGGCAACTAATACCACTTCAAAACCCTCACTGCTTTGTTTGCTGGTGTTTGCTGCGGTAGACCAAAGGAGCAGGACACCCAGAGAGACGTGTCGAATCAGCCGCCGGAATTTCAAGTGTTATCTGATCCATCTTCTTAAAACATCAGAAGCGACTCACCTTTTCTTATCTGCATTATCCGTCTCCTCCGCCTCATCAGCACTGCAAGTGGCGCTGGAGTCGCTGTCCCCATGTGGACCTGCTTTGGTCACGTGCTCCTTTTTTGAGCTCTTCGTGGAGGTTTTAACTTCCTCCTTCTCCACTCTTGGAGGTTTTTTATCCGCGGCATCGTTTGTTGGCACCGACTGTGGCTCTTCTTTGTTGGGCTCCCCTGTTTCTGTCTCTATCTCCTGCTTTATAGCCGATTCAGCCTCTTCCTTGACAGGAGGCTTCTCCTCCCCAGGCTGACCTGTTCCTGGCTGATTGTCCTCCCTCTCCTCAGGGTTGGAGCTGCCCTTTGGCCGGCTGGTCCCTTCCTCTTTAGCCTTGCTGTCCTCAGAGGAGTGTGGCGAGGGCAGGCTCTCTGTGTCCGAGCTGTTGTTTGCGCCACCTGAGAGATGCAAAAATATCTACGGATCAGGATCTACACTGATAATCATTCTTTTGTCCCACTGACCTTAATTCTTCTTCAGCTAGACCAGATATTTAACAAAACCAGTTTTCTAAATAAACAGGTTTTTATGGAAGCC